TATTTTGCGCTGGGGGAGTCCTTCCTCAAAACCCCCATCCTAGTTTTAACGTGATTATTTTCTAGATGCATTGTGGCACTTAATTCACTGGGCCAAAGGCTCTGACACTTTTGTGTGGCCCTTGCCCTGTGCCTCCAGGACCACAAGAGGTTGGCTGGATGTGTTTTCCTAAATACCTCCTGAAATACTGCTAACACTAGAGACATATAAATAGAAAAAACTCAAATTTCAAAATTCAACCCAAGCTAAATACTAAAGGAACTCACTAGGGTTTGCTATTTCTTTTATTTGCCAAAATCTTTAGGAAGCTTTTCATGTTCAAATACATGAGGAAGAAATATATACAGGTAAAAAATGAAGAGACCCAGGTTTTGTTCTTAACTTCACCCCTGAATTTGCTGCAAACCACCCACATGGTCTCTAGAAGCTCTTTTCCATCTCTCTGGGCCCTGCTTTACTCTTTTATACAAAGTAAGGGGGACACCAAATGATCTCCAGGGTTCCATCATTAGTTATGCCTTGCAAATAATACCTCTAGAATTGTTTTTTTAAAGGCACAGTAACTTCAGAGCTCTCTGTAGCTATTTCCAAAGATGTGAACTGACATTCAAAGAACACAGAAACACTTTGGTACCCGCTAACTCTATATAAAGCTTTCAAATGAGGGAGGTTCACTATTGAAACAATATTCCAAAACAATGTTGACTGACTTTGTACTAAAAGCTTATGTATCTAACCATCTAACCACTGTTTTCCCCTCATTTCACTTTCCAGACTGATTTGTGAGGGTTTTTTTTTTTTCTCTTTCCCTCTTTCCCTTATTTTTAAAACATTTGTTTAGGCCTGAAGAGACTGCAAGGTGGTATGCACAAACATAAGTAAGAATAAGCCCATTTCTTATCTAGACTGAGCATTTCACTAGGAACAGAGTTTTGTATTCCGTTTCTCCAGCCACCACCACTGAAAGGTTATAGAATATTCTATTTCAGGACACCTTTAAAGACGAGAAGCACATTTAAAAGTACTGCAGAATGTTATTTTGATTTCTGCCACAGAATGAATCACTCCTCCTGAATGCAAACACCAGCAAAGAATGCGTTAGAGGATCCGCCATCATATTAAAAATTAAATCCGGCTGCATTTCATAATGGGCTTTCCTTTTTAAAGCACGGTTTCATCTTCTCACCATGGAAATTGCACTCTGATGGCTGTTCTTTATGGTTAACGCAGGCATCGGCTGAGGTCAGAACCCTGCTTCTCTGAACAGGGAAACACAAATGTCACTGACACATGGTACGCTTGGCAAATAATATATTTCTTTCCTGTGTCTTCAGTTGGTCTAACGTCATGCTTGTGGTAAGCTAAAGAGAGTTTATTTCTCGGGTCTTCCTTCCTTCCTTTGGTGGGATCAGCAGGAGGCATGCAATATACAATGAATTCAAAAGTGCATCTCTTTTGATTTTTGTTGTTGTCTTTATTTTAACCTCCAAGAAGTGAGAGATTTAACTCAGTCTTCACCTCAGGCTAAGCTAATACTTAGGTCATGTCTGAGCTCTCTGGGGAACCCTCGCTTTATACCATCGGAGGGGCAATGGTGTCTTTTCACGTGGAGCAGCACAGCTGTCTGGCCATATGGGCCCCAAACAGCCCAGTCAATTGGATTTGGGGAGGTTTTACAATATAATTTCTTAACATGTTAGTATTTGGGGTGAATTTGATCAGGAAAATAGACAACTCTTAAGCCCAAGGGTTTAGGTTTTAAGGAGCCATCACAAATGTCTCAGCATCCGATCAGACTGGTTAAAAACAGATATGAAATCCGGGACTAGGGAAGGGGAAAGGACTCCTGACCCCCTGGTTGGAGCAAGCCCCAGGGGTATGCTCTAACTATTAATTCAGCATCAGCTGCTTTCTTCTTCTCCTTCTCCTTCTCCTTCTCCTTCTTCCTCTTCCTCTTCCTCTTCCTCTTCCTCCTCCTCCTCCTCCTTCTTCTTTTTCCTTTTCTTTTCTTTTTTAACCCGGGGATCATCATTTAAGGCGTTCCCACTCAGGCCTGCAGAGCCTGTTACAAAACCATCTCTCTCCTCCCCTCCCCCCATGCCGCAAGATGAGCGGCAAGTACCCTGCATTGCAGCAACCGCGAGGAGCGACTGCCAGAAAGAAACTGTCCTCAATCTAAACAAAACCAGGCCTTTAAGAAAAACTACGGAAAAGGGAGCAGCGGCGTGTCCTACTGCCCTTCAGCCCAGGCCAACTCGGGTCACAGACCCATCCCTCCATATACAAGGGGTTCCGAAACTATCTGCGAAAGGAATTCTTAATGAATAGGAAACAAATCGTGCTGAAGCTAAAAACCCTTATCAAAATGGTGGGAGTCTTGAACCAAGCCACTGCCAGTGTAGTTTTTCCCCCAGAAAAGTATTTTAGTTTGAGGGGAACGTTATCAGAATGGTAAGTTTTCCCGGAAAGACAGCCCCAGTGATGGTTTTTTCCAATCAGGTATGGTCTTCAGAAATTAAACAACAATTTCAGGCAATGGTTTGTTTCTTCTTTTTCTTCTTTTTCCTTCTCCTCCTCCTCCTCCCGTTTCTCCTCCTCTTCCTCTTTTTTCCTTCTCTCTGTCTGTTTAAACCAAAGCTTTCCGCTTCTTGAAATTTACAAAACTGCTCCTGTTCTAAGCTTCTTGTGGTGCATTGTTGGAAGCAAAAGGCCAGTGCTGAAAGGGTTTGAGATCGCCATTCTACTTCCATTGGGACAAACACCCAATAATTGACAAGAGCCGAAATGGCCTCAAAGTAAGAAGGGCCGTGCCTGGGTCACCCTTCGTGCTGCCACTCCCGCTGGGTGGGCGCCTCTGCCGCGACCCTCGCGGGTTGTGCGGCTTCAGGAGGGCAGCTTTTAGCTGGTAGGGCTTGTTCTCCCCATCTCTTGTTGCCCTGAATCCAGCAGTGCCCAAGAAACACTTAGATCGATCTCTCTCTCTCTCTCTCTCTCTCTCTCTCTCTCTCTCTCTCTCTCTCGTCATCAAAGAAGTAAGTAGGGGAAGCAGATGGGTCCTGCGTGTGCGTGAACCGCGCGGGTCAGGGCTGCCTCTCACGGCTGCGGCGCTGAGCCCTTGGAAAGTCCAAAGGTTTCTCATTGAAGGCGCTGGGTTACGGTTGGGGGGCTGGGGCGGGAGGTCCTCTTTGGTTTGGCTCTTGTGGGAGGATTCATTCTAGTCCTTCCTCAAGGCCAAGCTCACCCTGTGCTCCCGGAAAAACACAAATACCGCCACTGCCACCACAACAAAAGGCGCCTCCCCGAAGTGGGTTTGATGTCCGCGGGACGGGTGGGCCCGACGTGGAGCGCACTTCTGTGCCTCTAATCTCGGGCGTCCATCTGGCCCCGGCGCGCGGAAGGGCTTCGGAAGGGGCGGGGCGCGCGCGCATCCCAGCCGCGGGCACGCGCGCCCGCTCTCCTTCACATTCACCTTGACTGCGGGGGGGCGGGGGATGGAATGATCGCCCCACTCCCCCCCAACTCCTCCCCCACCCCCAGCCGCTGTCCTGCCCAGACGCCCGCCGGGGCGGGGTGGGGGAGGCGGCCCCGGCGCCCGGGTAGCCGCAGCGGCCCGGCAGCCGCAAGCTCTCCGCAGTGATGTCAACCGCATCCGCTGCAGACCCCGGCAGCCCTCACCCGCGCCGCGGCCCGCGGAAACCCCAGCCCGGAGCCTCCCGCCAGGGCCGAGAAGCGGAGGGCGCGCGGGTCCCCGGAGACCCCCCAATCCGTCTGCCCAAGCGGGAGAGACCGGGAATGGACGCCCGGCGATGCCGGGACCCCCGGGGCGGAGTAAGGGGAAGAGGAGTTGGAAGTGGGCGGTGGAGTCAGGTGTGGATTTGGCGCCAGCGGCCGCGGAGGGGACACTGCCCCGGACTGGTGCTGCCCAGGGGGCGTTCAGGGAGCGTGGGGCGCCGACCACTGCAGATGCGGCGGCGCGCGTGGGCTCGGGCAGGCGCCCCCCTTCTCCCGGGATAGAAACTGATAAACGGAAGCGCGTGTGAGTGTGGGGGTGCGAATCGCCACCTCCGGCCTTGGCTTTCCCGCTCTTCCAGAGCGCTCCCACTTCTCACTTTCCCCAAATCCGCATTTTCCTTGGCACAGCTCTCCTGGAGCACGAAGGAGAGGGAGGTACCCGGGGGCAGTGAGAATGACGTGTGCTGGTGCAGAGGGGGTGGGGGGCTGCGGGCCTGGCTCTGTGGACAGGCTCCTAATCCTCTTGTTTTCGGAACCGTCAGCAGATGTGGCTTCCTTTACCTGAATAATCCGTTAGGAATAATAATTTTTAAAACAGAGTCGATCTCACCCAAAGAGGACGGCGCACAAGATTAGGGCTTGGTAAGGCTAAATTAAAAGGCTCCCAATTCTCTATGTCCCTCTCTGCCTTCCCCTCTACCCCTCCCCCTCCCTCCTCCACCCTCCCCTCCCCTCCCCCTTCTTCCTCATCCCCTGCAATCCGCGCTCGACGCGAGTTCACGCGAAGGGCTGGATTTCCAGGCGGCTCCGCAACTCGCGCGGCACGGTGTTATTATTCATCCGAGGGTGCTGCCTCCGCAACCTTTGCCTCCTGCGCCGCTCTCCTTCCCCCGGCCGCCGCCGCCAGCAGTGCAGTCCCTCTGGCACGCATGCTCTGGTTCACCAAGGGGAGACTGAATTTTTTTTTATCATGCTCATCATCATCATCATCATCATCACGTTCCTTATCATGGTTATCATTTCCTCCTGCCAGGTGGAACGACCACCAGCGCCGGCTCCCCGCCTGCGCCTTCCCCAGCGAAGGCAGCAAGCAGTTTGGGCTCGGCCCGGCGGCCACCCCCAGAATGCTTCCACCACCTTCAGCATCCCCACTCAATCATCTGCTTGTATATTATCTCGATCCCTTTCATTTCTGTAGATCCACTGCCTTTGGTTGGGCTGGCTGAATCGCTGGGGATTGCGGCCAGTCTCGTAAAAAGGAGAACAAAAAGCTGAAGACCTTGCGTGGCTGCCGGGACAAAGCACCTTGGTGGGCTCAGCGAGAAGGGACACGCAGGAGCCCTGGCCCCGGAACACGCGTGGCCGCTGCGGAAGGGCGTCCGCCCAGGCGTGCGGACCGCTGAGGGTATTCGGATTGAATTGTATTTGTCCTTGTGTCTTGCTTTCACAGTGTCGACGTAGATGAGGGGTCGGGGTTTTGGATTCTCTTTTTTTTCTTGGGAGGGGTAGCTGAATTGTGGGAGACCCAAGAGGACTTGACTTGGCTTTCCTGCTACCCTGCCTCGCCTTCCCAAGACGAGGGGGTTGGGAAGGGGACAGGGGACTCTAGGCTTAGAAAAGGGAAGGAGTCCCCTGCTGCCTCGAGGGCTAAAGGAGTAGACGGTCGAGGTGGAGATGAGTGGGGATGGGCCAGTCCGAGGATCACTGCGGAGGAGAAGGGGTCTCCCCCACCCTCGGGTCCACAGGATGAGTTTTACTGGGAATGAGAATGTGGGTGTCTGTTGATAGGAGCGCTGAGAAATTGATGAGAAATTGACATGTCCGTGCACATGCATGAGGCGGCGACAGGATTTGTGTGTAAACAGAGTGGAGAGGTGGAGGAGGGCATGGAGGGGGAGGCTTAAAATAATGTCTTATTGTCCCTTTGGCTTTAGGAACTCTTCCTCTGTCTCACCCCCCCCCCCACCTTTTTTTTTTTTTTTTTTTTTTTTGACCCGGGGATCCAGCCGCATTATACACGGTGACCTTTTAGATCTACGTCCACCCTTTACCTGGTAAAGCCCGTTGACAGCTGGGGGTGGGGTGGGGAGAGTGTAGGGGTGCTCTCTCCCTCTCTCCCTCCCTCCGCCTCTCCTCCCTCGCTCCCCCCTGCACTCCTCTCGCTTCCTCCCTCCTACCTCCCTCGCTCCCGCCCTCCCTGCTGCATTTTGCATGAGCTATCTAGGTCATTAGCATTTTAGCGTATGCAAGACTTGACAAAGCTGATGAGGGGCCAGATGGGCCTCGCTCTTATGGGTTTTTTTTTTTTCTTTCTCTCTCTCTCTCTCTCTCTCTCTCTCTCTCTCTCTCTCTCTCTCTCTGTCTCTCTCTCTCTCTTTCCCTTTTTCCCCTTCACCACTTTGGACCTGAACTAGAGGACTGCAGCGGGCGAGTTACGGAAGGCTAAATCCTCAGGTCCCGGCCCCGGACCGCGGCAGCTGGCGCCTGCGGCACGCCCGGCCCGGCTTCGCCTGCACTCCGCGATCGAGGTAAAGGCGGCGGCCGCGCGCCCTGCCCTGGCTGCCGCTGCCGAGCCCCCGCTGCCTTCCTCGTCCCTGGCCCTCTTCTTCCTTCTCCTAGCCCCCTTCAGTTTCCTGGGCAAAGCGGAGGGCAACATGGGTGGGTGGGTTTACTGCGCTGGGGCGAGGTGGGGTCGGTGTTGTTTTTTCATTGTCTGGAGCTGCAGGGGAGGCGAGGCGCGGGGAGAGGGGCGAAGGGAGCCGGGGTAATTAACACGGGGGAGGCACCCCTCCGTCTCCCACTTCCACCCACACCCCCATCCCTCCACCCCCTCCGCTTTGCAGGAAAAAGCCTGGATGCGAAAGGATGGGGGAGAACAAAGAGCCTTTGGAAGACGTCGCTGTTATCTCATTGTCTGTGTGATTGGGGGAGCTGCGGCGGGGAGGATGCTGTGGTCCCTTCCTCCGGCGCTCCCCCACCCCCATCCCTCTCCTCGCTGTCAGTGCGCACGTACACGCGCCGCTTTTTATTTCTTTTTCCTGGTTTTCTTATTCCATCTTCTACCCACCCCCGCTTCCTTTCTTTCACCTTTCCTTCCTTCCTTCGTCCTTTCCTTCCTCAGGAGAAAGGCCTCTCTCTCCGTGTTCACAGCGGACCTTGATTTAAATGTCCATACAATTAAGGCACGCGGTGAATGCCAAGAATGGGGCTGGCTGAGCACCTTGGGTCCGCGAGGGCCCGCCAAGGAAGGAGCCACCGACCGAGCCGGGCGCCCTCCGCAGACCTCCGCGCAGCGGCTGCGGGCGTGAGGGGAGGGGTCTCGAGCGCTCTCCGGCTGCGGGTCCCGAGCCCGTAGAGTAGGGAGGTGTGCAGCCTGTGACAGACAGGGGCTTAAAGATGCAAACAGATTCAGGGAGAGAAACAGAAGCTGATTCTGTGACAGAAGCAGATGTGTGCAGCACAAATGCGGTGTGCTTGGGGTGGGGGTCGCCTGGGAGCGCATTGCGGAGTGCTTGTGTGTGCAGATTTTTCTCTGGGCTCAGGACTCATTGTATGTGGGTCGACACCTTTCTCCGTGGCTGTGTTTTTGTTCTGAGCTTAGTTTTTTGGTTTGCCCTTAAAAAATAATAATAATTTGGCATCCAGAGACTGGCAGAGTGCCCCAGGGCCTGGACTGCGGGTATATTGTGTTCTGCTTGAGGTTTGGAGAGGAGGGCAGGCGGTTGGAAGGGAGAGGGGAAGCTGTTTGTCACCCTTTGCTGTAGAGCTGAGAGCACCTGACAAGCTTAAGGAAGTCGTCGGGCTAGGTGGACAAGAAGGAGCCAGCTCCCGGCAGGTTCACAAGCTCCATCTGAGCTGAAAGCCTGGCCATAGCTCTAAGGAGCACCTCACGCCTTCCCTGTAGCTGTTACTGCAGTTTCAGGCAGAGATCCAGGAGCTGCAGAGGAAGGGAGAGGCACAATAACCTACACAGACCCCAGGGAAGCATGTGTTCCTTTAAAAATGTGAACAGAAGGAAACACAGAATGTGTGCAAGTGGGGGTCTGAGGAAAGACTGTTTTGAAAGAGGCTGTCAGGGAATGGAAAGGGTTAAGCCTCGCTCATCCTGAAGAACCTGCTTCCCAAATCAGGCGTTCCTCCCATCACTAGACCCTGAGCAGCAGCTGGTCCTAGAGACCCCCCTCGTACTGCGCTGCCACAATCTCATCCCATTTCCAGCTCTGTATTAACCACCAAGCTGTAGCGGATGGGGCAAGACCTAAGCTCATTAATTTCCAGGTGGAGGAAATGGAGGAGGGGCAGGTCCCTGCAGCAGAGGGAGGAGCAGAGAAAAGAGGCCAAGAGCTGGATCCTTCTGCCCAGGAAGCCTGCTGCATCCCTTCCCCCGAGCATGGCAGAGGCCTGGCTTTGCAAGGCCAAGGCCATAAGGGATGCTTAGGAGATTAATTTGATTCCTGACACAGCAATCAAGGCCTAAGAGTCTCCACTGAAGCTTACTAAGGACTTCTTTCCTCTCCAAAGCCTCAGTCTAGCCGCTTAAATAAATTAGCATTCAGTGATGCCTTGAACCAAGGCCCCTCCCTAGCCTCAGTGCCCCCAAATATTTATTGAGTAGCTACTATGTGCAATCCTTGTGTAATCATTATCTCTTAGGCTCTTCATCTGGCCTCCTAAGGGAGTGTTTAGAATCAGGCAGAGGCTGAGTGTGTTGCACCCCACCTAGATACTTCCAGAACCTTCTCTGGGTCTGCAGAATGTGCCACAACCTGCTTGCTCCTGCAGAGAGAAAGCTGCAGTGCACATCCTGCAGACTGCAGGTGCTGGGCTACCTCTGGAGTCCCAGAAGGCAAGCTTGGCTGCAGGACAGAAAGGGGAAACAGCTACTCACCCCTGCGCCTTACAAGCCTTGTCTAGTCACCACTGCCCTTAAAATATATCTCCCTTGAAACTAGTAGCTTCCTAAGTCCTGGAGTTCCTGCCGCCCTTTCTGGACAGGTTCAGGAAGAAGAAAGCAGTCAATATTGGGCCTCCTTGGGGTGTAAAGCCCCTTGCTCTGCCCTCTCTGCTCACTGTGAAGGCTGCTGGATGCTTCTTTTGAGCATGGTTTAAGCCTCTGATTACTAAACCCTTTGCCCCACAAATGTCCACATTGGAGAGCCTCTTTTCAGTAATTGCTTCTCCGTAATACCTTCAGAGGTTGCTGTACCCTTCACTGATGTGCCCTCTGGTCAAATCTCCAAATGCCTCCCCACGTAATGCCCCTTTCAGATGCTTTAAGCTAAGAGCTTAAACCAAAGGTACCGTGGCCACCGCCTGCCAGGTTTCTGCTTTGGATAATCTATGATGGGAGGGGCATATTTTTTACTTCATTACTTATATAAACTCTTGCTCTAGAAAGCGTTCACGTGTGTGGGCATGTTCTGGGTCTGCTAGGTCTGTGTGCATGGGTGTGGGTATTTGCCTGTGTCCGCCGGGTGGGTCTCATTACAAAATGTATGTCTATGTAGGGCTTTAATGGCCGAAAACGGCAAAGAGATGAATGGACAACTTGACCCCATGTGTCATTGCGAGGCCCCTTCTGTGCTCAAACAAGGTGTCCCTGTGCAGGTCAGCCCTTCCCTTCTGTGTTTGGGGCCTATTTATGCCACCACTCATTTTACAAGAAACCTGAAAATGTCTCCCCTTTGAGGGCATTTCACTCTTTAGCATCTTCTTCTCTTCCCTACTTGAACCCCTCTAACTACAGTCTATGGCTTACATGACAGGGGAATTATATGGTTAGGAAAAAGTAGGACAGAATAGACAGTTTGCTGACTGAATGCGCAAAGAAGGCCCTGATAGGTTTATATGCACCACTGCCATAACAGTCCTGCGAGCTAATATATTCTTGTGGTAACTGTACCAGACACTTTCAGATTTAGAAATGTATCAGAGGAAAAATTGGCAATACTCTTCTTTCCCCGCCAGTGACAGCCCAGATCTCCGCTTAAGCAGAAAAGAGATTGACCTAACAGAGGCAAAGGTAAACTCCTGTAAGTTACTTCTGTTACCAAAGGGGGGGGGTGGCTTTTGTGAATGTATGAGGAGCTTCTGCCAGAGAAATTTTCGGGGGAGGGGTGTGCCCATGTGCACACATACGTACATACATTTCCCCACATAACCATATCCAGTGCTAGCATTTAGAGGAAGGCATGTAGCCACCAAAAGTCCATCCACCTATGCTGCTTCCACAGGGAAATCATTTTCTCTTTCCTCCTCTTGAACTTACATAATACCCCATTCCAACCTGAGAAGAGCCTTTTGGGGGCAGCTGCAAAGCGTTCTCCCTGGGACAGATGGAGCCGCCCTTTCCCCATCTACTCTGTGGGTGGTTTCAGGGCCCATGAGTCAACACGAGGCGTTGTGCTGGGGGTATGTGTGTTGGAGGCTGGGCTGGCTGATTCACAGTGACAAGGATGTCAATAGTAACAAGAATGAGAATGATGGTACCTAATAAAGAATTTTTTCCTCTATGTCCCATCTACAATTCTTTCACTGGGTGTTTTGCCAAGTCTTTCTCAGTCTCATTTCAGCTTTTCTAAAGAAAATGTATTTAATACTCAATTGTATCACAAATGTAGACATAGAAGAAAAAACGACTTCAAACGGAATTTATGCGAGGCACTGTGTGCTGGTGTTTGCCTTATAGAGCTGCTCGGAAGGCCTGGGGATCTGGTGTTTGCCTTATAGAGCTGCTCGGAAGGCCTGGAATGATCCCCAGCACCAAATTTAGATGGCCTCAAAAAAATAAAATAAAATAAAATCAGGCCTTATTGAGGGCAAGGACTGTTCCAGGTCAGAAATAAAAGTGTCAGCAACTCTCAGTAGGTTCATCTTTTCATTTCTTATCCTTCTCCCTTTTGTCTTAAAATAGAAACGCTACCCAGACCTGGGGGCTTGGGTCAGGGGCTCCGGGGCCCAAAAAACAAACTTCCAGAATCACTAAGGGCTTCTCTCTCTCAGAATTACCGTGGGAAGTTTCCTTTGAAATTCAAATCCAACCTATTTGTTGCTTAAGCAAACGCAAAATACTGAGGCCTGGGGTTCAGAAGGCGATAGTTCGGCTGCAAGTGTGTGTTGCAACTTCGTGTGAGGTTCTCAGGGCGGCTCTGCGGCGACTTGCGGCCCCGCGAAGGTGGGTGAGGGCTGCATTTCGGCCCCCGCCGGCCCGGACCGCGCCCAGGGCCTCCCAGTGACTGGCTTCCCAGCACGCACGAGGCATTCTCGTCTCTTTCTTTCCGAATGCACCCGAGACCTCTCCATGGAGCAAGGCGAAGATGAGCAGGCGCTGATTCTCCATTTCTTTTTCGCTCCCATTTTCCAGTCTTGATACATATTTTTTACTTTCTCTCCCGAATCTTGCAGACCTGGAACTCCTGAGATTCGGGTCCTCCTGCAGTTCCCAAAGCTTTGGGCCCCAGTGAGGTGTGGGTAGATGCAGGTCAGTCTCAGGTTCATTCTAGAATGCGCTACAATCCCAAGTTCTAAGGCAATGGGGAGGTGAAGAGGTCAGGGCGCCCCCAGCTCTGGGCGACAAACGCCAGGGACTGTCCCCGGAGACGTCACATTTTTCCCTTTCCACGCACATCAATTTCACTCGAGCGCCAGATGGACCCTCGACGGTCAACGTTAGAGATTATTACGGAGTCGGGGGCTGGAACTGGGGCGAATCAAGACGAGGGTACCTCTTGAGCTTCCAAAGGTGGCCGAGCCACACCGAAGGGCTGGGCGGGAGGTCGCGCCCTCCCCTGGCCACCAGCAGCACTCCGGAGCCGGAGGCCTGGGCCTAAAGCCCGCGCCCTCCCCGCGGCGCAGCCGGCCCGACTGTGCGCCTGGCGCCCGCAGCCCCTCTCCCCTTGTCCTCCTCCCGGCCTCTCTCCGATCCGCTTCAGGACCAGCGGGCTCGAGGACCCCATCCAGCATCCCGGAAAGCCTCAGAACTTGCAAGAAAGAGGGGCTGGAAGGTGCAGCCTGGGAAGGGGCACGGAGAAGGGGAAGGTGGGGAGAGGATCTCACCGCGAAATCGCTTGGGGGGATGGGTTTTATTTGTTGGAGCGAGGGGTCCGTCCCAGTGCATCCTCCCGGACTTCCCATTAGGACGCCCCTCCCAAACCCCCAGCCTCCTCTCCCGGATACCCCCAGTGACCCGGCCTGGGATCGGGCATCTTCCCCCAGGTCCCAGCGACGTGTCCTCCGCATCCCCAAATACCCTCCTTCCCCACTCCCGCAACCTTCTCCACAGAAGCCAAAACCACAATAAAAATCTTCAACCCACAAAGAAAAAGACACATTCCTCCTTCGGCCTTAGTCAGCGTTAGTTCCAGATCCGACGCCGGAGGGGACAGGGGCCGCTGGAAGTCAGTTGGAAGGAAGGCGCAGAAGGCTCTTTCTGTCTTCAAGAATCTCCTTGCAAATGCAATCGCTGCTGCCATTAGGACCCGGTCTCCGTTTTCAAAAGAACTCAACGCCTTCCGTTTCCTCATCTGTTGGGCCCATTAGCGTACAGTGAGTGTTGCAAGGTTTCTTTGGGTCAACAAGCCTTTCCCTGAAATAACCTTCAGAGCCCTGGCCTCAAGGTCACGGGCCGGGTGGCCTCTACAGGCCACACAGGTCAGGACCAGGATGTGCCTGACTGAGGCTGTGCCACCAAGACCTTCGGACATGCAGAACCTGCCCTGAGCTGCACGAGGGGCTTCCATCAGCCCCCTCCCACTCCACACAGATTGATGTGGCAATATTTATTCCCATTTAATTGAGACACTGGTTTAATTTCAGATTGCTTCGGCTTAAGGCCCAATGGGGTTTTCTGCAGCTCTTTTCCCCAGTGCCTCTACAGAAATTAATTGCTGTTAATATCCAATTTTGGCTTTATTATTCGTTAGCCAATTATGTATCCCATAGCCCAGGCCCCTTGCTGCTCTCAGCCTCTGCTGGAATCAGCTCACACTATGCCCGGCTTCTGCTTCTCTGCCTTCCCCTCGATTCAGACTCTCTCCTTCCGGGATGATTTACCCGCCCGGCAGGCATTTTGCTTGTGTCTCGGCACTAGCTGAGCTGGGGGAGGTGTCTTTAAGACGTTTTCCCCCTTTGGAGGGAAATGTCTTCTTTGCAGTGGAAATAAATAATTTCCATTTAAAAAAGAATCTAAGCTTCTCCATTCCCTCTTTCCAATCCTCAGGCTTGCTTTCTCTGGAGCCATTTTTGGAGAGCAGTTTTCCATCAAAAGCAAGCAAGGTGCCTCGGCCTCAGGACCCTCCTCCCCACCTCCCTAGGAGCCCCTCCCAGACTGCCTTAAAGCCACCATGTGTATCTAACACCATAGACTCAAACAGGGTGCTTCGAGGGTGTCATTTCACTTTTCAAGGAGGGAAACTTGATAAAGCAACTCGGGGAAAGCGCCGTTTTCAGAGCTGAGGAGGGCAGCTCTCCGATTCTCCCTGGCCGAGGCCCGGGAAAGCATTCCAGCCTTGCGCTGTCCGGCCCTGCTGGATGGAGCTGATGCAACTGGGGGCAAGAGCCTTTTTAAAAGTGTTCTTTTGCATCAGGTTTTGTGCCTTGAGTTCACTAATAGAAGCAAACACTTCCCATCACTGGTGCTCTGGAAACATGTAAGTGAGAATCCTAACGACAGCGGAAGGCCCTTCTTTGTCTGCTTCCTCTCCTTCCCCCATTGGGAAATAATGTCTCCCATGCCATAATATGCCCTCACACTTATCTCTGGCAGTTCTGTAACAACCTGCGCAATGTCAGCCTCAGAACTGAATGGAGAGAAAACAAGATGTCAGAGCCGCTGGCTTGAGCTGCGGCCCCTTCAGATGAAGCCCGAGGTGGTGGGGGGCAGGAGCGGGGGTGGTTCCTCTCCGCCTAGAAATCCTGTGGTCAGATTTGTAGTAGGTGAGAGGTGGGTGGTGACTGTTGTGGAAGCTGGGACATTAAGAAGGTGCCTTACACAGAAGGCTCAATAAATACCACCCAGATTGGATGTAATTAAATTAGCAGCAGCTGTCCTGCTTTTCCTGTCAAAAGCTACAATTAGGCATGGAGGTCTCTTGGGCAAAGGCTGGCTAGAGTGGCATCCTAGGAAAGGAGGGAGCTTAACAATGTTTCTGGTTCATCTTCTATCCTCACCCCTGCCTAGCTTGTCCAGATACATGGAGTTTTCTTTTCTTTTTATCTTTTTTTTTTTTTTTTTTTTTTTTTTTTTTTGAGATGAAATCTGGCTGTGTCGTCCAGGCTGGAATGCAGTGGCGTGATCTCAGCTCACTGCAAACTCCATCTCCCAGGTTCAAGAGATTCTTCTGACTCAGCCTTCAGAAGAGCTGGGATTACAGGCACGCACCACCACGCCTGGCCAATTTTTTGTATTATTAGTAGAGACGGGGTTTCACCATGTTGGCCAGGCTGGTCTCGAACTCCTGACCTCAGGTGATCCACCCGCATTGGCCTCCCACAGTGCTGGAATTACAGGCATGAGACACCACACCCAGCCAACTTTTATTTTCAAAACAGTTCAAGCATAGTAATAGCCCACATACCATGCTCAGTCCCAGACAGAATTTCTGGGAAAACAAGAGGAAAAGCTCTATTTTAGAACCCTTCCATCATCGTTTGAGAGCACTTTAACTTTCAAAGATTCTCATATTCAAATGTCTCTTGTCACCACTCCAGTGCACATCTTAACCAAGGCCTTTCCCACTGGGGTATGCCCTCTAAACAAAACTAATAACAACAACAACGACTATAATCAACTTCCGTTTCCTTCTGCTCTCCTTCCCTCAGCCCCTTGAAAATACCTGTATTCTCAATGCTCAAGAGGTGTTAAGAGAAAGACAGAGAAGTTAAACCATTTCATACTAACACATGAGTCACTTGAACAAGACTCTTAACTTCCCCAGAGGTATTTTACATTTTAGAAGAGATGTTGGCTGGGTACGGTGGCTCATGACTGTAATCCTAGCATTTCAGGAGGCCGAGAAGGAAGGATCACTTGAGCCCAGGAGTTTGAGGACAGCCTGGGCAACATGGCAAGACTCTATCTCTACAAAAATGTCAAAAAATTAGCCAGGTATGATGGGGCATACCTGTATCCTCAGCTGCTTGGGAGGCTGAGTGTGGGAGGATCACTGGAGCCCCAGAGACTGAGGCTGCAGTAAGCTGTGCTCATGCCACTGCACGCCAGCCTGGGAGACAGAGTGAGACTCTGTCTCAAAAAAAAAAAAAAAAAAAAAAAGAAAGAAAGAAAGAAAAGAAAAGAGAAAGAAAGAAAGAAAGAAAAGAGGCACTTGCCTACCAAGTCTAATTGTATAAGTTTCTCGTAAAGGTACCCAAAAGCGTAAGGCAGAATCACCTCAGCGCCACCACCTTCTGCTTGACGATACCATCATCATTCCTTCGTTCCAGACACACCAGTGTTCAGCCTTCCAAACATAACATAACAGGAAGACACACATAAAGAACCCTAATGAATCCCCACGGCTTGCTCTGCCCTCTGCCCCCTCTGTTAGACCAACCGATAGGAGCAGTCCAAGCTTTTGGCAGGGACACCTGTGATGTTGGCAGGACAGGTAGATATCGGTCTAGCTCCAGGCTACCATATCTTTGCAAATTTGAAACCAGCCCTTTGCATAATTGTGAGTTCTGATTTTGCTATTTCCATGAATTTATTTATTTATTTATTTATTTATTTATTTATTTATTTATTTTGAGACAGAGTCTAGCTGTCACCCAGGCTGGAATGCAGTGGCGCCATCTCAGCTCACTGCAAACTCCGCCTCCCAGGTTCAAGCAATTCTCCTGCCTCAGCCTCCAGAGTAGTTGGGATTAC